GAACACGACGAGGAATCCGCCGACAGCATCCCCTCTGACATCACACACATAGAGACATACAGCATCCCCTCTGACATCACACACACAGAGACATACAGCATCCCCTCTGACATCACACACATAGAGACATACAGCATCCCCTCTGACATCACACACACAGAGACATACAGCATCCCCTCTGACATCACACACATAGACATACAGCATCCCCTCTGACATCACACACATAGACACATACAGCTTCCCCTCTGACATCACACACATAGAGACATACAGACCGCGCTCACCTCATTGTTGATGTCGCAATCCATCTCGCAGCTTGCCGAGGGACTGCACTGCTGCGGAGAACAAAAGACATTAAAAGCCCGACAAGAGAAATGAAAACTGAACATAACACCAAAAGAGACTGAAGAGCGTCACTGCCCACCTAGAGAACATACTCCATGCACCCGGCCGCCTCCAATCTCATCGTGTACAGCTTGGGCAATGCACGATTCTACACCTGGCTTCCCTTGCATCCCACAATGCAATGCAACCAAAACTACAAAAGGTTCCCCATTTGTATTGGAGGATGACCAAGGAGAAGCCAACTGGAAGCCAGTAGAGGGCGAGCCCGGGTACGGACATTTCCTTGCCACCTGGAGGTATGCGGACCTTTTTTTTTTACGGTGTTAGGTTCTCCTTACATTGGTGGTCAGAGGGAAGAATGCTCCTTACATTGGTGGTCAGAGGGAAGAATGCTCCTTACATTGGGGGTCAGTGGGAAGAACGCTCCTTACATTGGGGGTCAGTGGGAAGAATGCTCCTTACATTGGGGGTCAGTGGGAAGAATGCTCCTTACATTGGGGGTCAGTGGGAAGAAATGTCTCTTACATTGGGGGTCAGTGGGGAGAATGCTCCTTACATTGGGGGTCAGTGGGAAGAATGCTCCTTACATTGGGGGTCAGTGGGAAGAATGCTCCTTACATTGGGGGTCAGTGGGAAGAATGCTCCTTACATTGGGGGTCAGTGGGAAGAATGCCCCTTACATTGGGGGTCAGTGGGGGGAATGCTCCTTACATTGGGGGTCAGTGGGAAGAATGCTCCTTACATTGGGGGTCAGTGGGGGGGAATGCCCCCCTTACAGATGGCTATAAAGCTCATTGGCTACATGTCTGAGATGCAGAAACTACCAATTGTTCCAGAATCCCCCAACAACTTGTGGAGGAGCCCCGGGGTTTCCGCAGTGGACGCGCTCAGGCAGAGGCAGCTGTCGGTGATTACATCGGGAGCGCCGATCTCCCAGTTCAATCTGCGGCGTGACGGCCCGGCTCCGCTCCTCATTAACGTTTCTAATCTCAAATATCTTTGACAATTTCAGCCGCTTATTGAGCCTCAATTAATCCTAATTAGTTTTTGTTAACCCCTTCATCCCCTTCCCTTTGTTTTTCCGTTTCACACGTAAGCCTTTTACATCCGCCATGCGTCGGGCTTTTGCCGCCATGCGCGTGATAAAGGCGTAAACGTTTGTACCGGAAAAGCGTCGTTTTAATCGCTTTTATAGAAGAGACAAATTGCAGAACATACATTCGCGCCGCTGATGAGTTATAAACCGTTTTAGTTCCCAGACGGAAGAACAAATTTTGGTAATGATAATTTTTGTGGAATCCCGGTTCCATTTTACTGCACTCGTAATGACTAGACGCCGCCGGTTTAACCGCTTCGCAACTACTCCCCCCACTTCTCAACTACTCCCCCCCCCATCCTGTTCGGTTGGACTTGGATCGAAGGGTGGTAACCCTATGAGAGGCGGCCGAGGGGTAGGCAGGAGAGGGGACTGCCTTGGGCATTTGGGGCAAAAAGGGGAGAATCTGCAACCTACGCTGCTGAACTAGTCTACAGCTCATGGGCGGGGGGGGGGCCCATG